CAGGTGAGCAAACTGGCTGAAAAGTCACTGTGCCGCTCTACATTTAGCAGGTATCAATATCCCTACCTTAGCCTTTTTTTCCTTTTTTTTTTTTTCTTTTCTTTTTAATGAACATAACATGCACTGCTACTGGAAATGTGCTTGATCCAGACAAAAGGAGGAGAAAGAGAAAAGAAACATAAGAAAGGCTTATCATTCTTTACAAAGAAAGCAGAGGATAAGACATCTTTGTCTACCTAAACACTCTTACCTGCTGAGGGGCACTTAAATGCAGGATTTTCCTCTGCTGCCAGCATGCTCTGGGGCTTGCTGGCAAACCTCTGCCGCTGCTGCAGCAGGTGCTCTCCGGGCTGCATGGTGTCGGCAGGACCCAGCTCGCCAGGCTGAGTGTCCCCCGCTCTCTCTGGGGAGCACGGGGGAACATCGAGGGGCCCTAATGCCCTTCCCAGGTCCCGGACAGGCAATCTTTTGCAGCAGCCTGCAGGGCAGTCCACAGTGACAGGGTTATGGGCAGCAGGATGGAGGACTCTCAGGACATCTGGCTCATCATCTTCAGGGATGGGGTTATACCATATTTCTCCTTCATCATCTGCATCGTTGTCTTCACCAAAGGCACAGCGTTGCAGCGCAGCAGAGCCTGTGGCATTCGGAAGGGCGCTCGCAGCACCACAGCCAAGGATGGGGCGCTCCGGCCCTGCCGGGGACCTGGCAGGAGCCCCCCGCACCCTTGGTGAGGGCAGTGGGCTGGGGGACCGTGGGGCCTGGGTGACAGCCCCTGGTGTCTTCTTACATGTGCTTTCTCCCTCCAGGCGGGGGGCTCGGTGGGTGCTCTGGTGCAGCCAGTTGCGCTTCTTAGAAACAGTGATGCTGTTCATCTGTGGCCGGTGCTCGGGGAGCTCGCTTGCCTTTGGAGACTTGGGCTCCTTCCTGCTCCGTGGGGCTACGTATACATTTTCTATTAGATCTGCTGTTAGAACAGGAGAGAGAGGAGAGACAAATGCTCAGAATATCGCATTGCTTTTAGCAGGACAGATGAAGACATACAGCATCGTATCACGTTCGCCTTAGACCTCATTTGAAAGGACAAAAGACAAGGTGATGCTATCATCAAATTACACGTCAGCCTGCCAAAGCAGAACATGTGTGTAATTAATGAAAAGTCAGGCTTGTTGGGCTGTATTTTAACACCGTGTAATTTAGGTAAATGGCAGTGAGAGCTCTGTGTAAAGGTCAGACAGACTTAGGCAGAAAAGGATCTTTTTGCTCTGGTAATTTTGTGCGTGCAGTGGGTTTGTTATCCATTGTTCCTACGATGTATTTACAATGTAGAAAACAAAGGTGGGGATCTATTTGGCTCAAAAGCCTCCAGCAAGGACTGTCCTTACTGCCATACCCTGTGTTCAGGGCAGGATTTAAGTAGAAAACAAAGATGGGGATCTATCTGGCTCAGAAGCCTCCAGCAAGGACTGTCCTTACTGCCATACACTTTGCCCAGGGCATGAACAACCCTTGGTTTGTGAGAACAAAAAGAAGAGAGGAAGAATCAATAAAAGTTTTTAAATACATCATTTTACAACAAATTTTTCATTTTCATTTAACAACAAATCAAACTCTATACACAAGTTCAAACTTAATACATACTTAAATATATACATTTATATACAAATATATACATACATACTTAAAATGCTGTACTACAGCAAAGCTAAACCTGTAATGGTGTTCCACAGGCAGGGTGCTTCTACCCTGACCTCCCCAAAGCTCCCTTCTCCATGGAGCTGAGGAATAGCACTTACGCCAATACAAACACGCACCATGCCAGATCTGTATGCCCACTGACAGCAACTCCTGCCGCTCCTTGCACTGCCAGGGACACAAAGGCCCTCTGCAGGGCTGCCACCCCACAGCCCCCAACCCACAGACCTGAGACACGTTCAGAATCACTGTGCGCTGGGCAGTGCCGTGCTGTGGTGCCCCCAGTGCACACCTGGGCAGCCCTGCACTGCACTACCCACATGAGCCTCCTGCAGGAACAGCGGCCAGCAGCAGCTGCAGAGCACTGCAATAACCTCCTGCTTGCAGGGGCACGCCGCAGCCACACAGCTCTCCTCTCTCAGTCTCCAAATCAGCCAGCTCTGCCAAAAGCCATTGATTGCAAACGCTCACTGAATCCCATCCAAATGATACACTTGCATTTAGGTCTTCCAAGCACAGCTCTCGCAATCCAGGGCTGTGTTTGCAAATGCTGCTTCCCCTTTATTCCAGTTTGGCCCTGATCCTGAAAGTCCTTCTGTGGGTGTTTATTTTAATAACAAACTGTTTCACATGCAAGCATCTGAGCACCCAGCAGCTCCACGGAGCACAGCAACTCCCAAACGCCAACATCTGTTATAGTAACCAGAAATTCAAATAAATAGGAAGCTCAAGGAGCTACAGGGGTGACAAATGTGCTCTCTGCTCCAGAGCAAAGCTTCATTCAGCAGAACGCCATTGGCTCTGTTCAGCGCAATCAGAGCATTTCCAGAGGCAGACCCTGCACAACACAGAATGAGGCACCGCTCCCCAAAAGGCTTCCGCACAGTGCTGGGGTGAACAAACAGAAGGGCAGACAAACAGGCAGGCACTCAACTCACCTCCCACTCCATCTACACAAGGTCAAATAAATCACTAAAGTTATAATACAGGAAAACCACAGCACCTCCAGAGCCCCAGATGCAGTGCTTCAGCTCAGCTGAGGTCACGACAAATCCCGTGCCTATTACATACACATATCAAACATCTCATCCCAACGCGAGGCGCTGCTTTTCAGGTCATAACGAAGCGGGGAACGGCCGTCCCAGTCCCACCGCACACGGTCCAGCAGAACGCACAGCTCCGGGGCTGCAACAGCCACCCGCTCCCTGCCCAATCTGCACACCGCCCAGCACACAGCGGGGCTGTGTTGCGGCGGGACGGCAGCGCGGTCAAAGCACGGTCCGTAAGCATCAAACTGTGCAAAAAAAACAGGGAGGAAACAAATGCGAGAGAATGACAAACGGTCATGAGGCGAAGAGCAGCGAACGGCCGCGTGATGAGCCGCACGGGGCAGCGCTCTGACAGCGAGGGCCTCTCGTGGAAACGGGGAATTCTGTCCCGAGAAGAATGAGCGACGTTGTGAAAACGCGCCCGCGGAGGGCTGATTCTCGACCTACGTTGGAACTTGCAGAACAGCATTACTTTTGCTCGAAACAAACGCGAAGTCTTCGCAAACTCTGGAAAAAAAAATGCAGCTCCAAAGCCCGGCGCAGCCCGCTCCCCGCACCGACCTGCGCGGCACAGCCGCCCCGTCCGCCTCGGGGCTCCCTTTTCGTTACCTGCACTCCCCGCCGCCCGCCAGCACTGCGCCGAGCCGCACCGCGTTCACTGCTCGGGCAGACGCGGCACGGAGCGCCGCCAACAGCCCCGCGGAGCGGAGCGGAGCTCGGAGCGCCGAGAAACTCGCTTCGGTACCGTTTTCTCGGAGAAGCGCCGCGCCAGAGCCCCGCGCCCCTCCCCTTCCCCTTCCGAGGGGACCGACCCCGCGCCCCGCTCCGCACGTGGGAGCGCTCCGTCGCCAGACGCGGCCCCCGGCGCCCCGGGCAGACGGGCTCTTACCCTGCGGCCCGCAGCCCCCGCCGTGCCGGTGCGCGCCGCCCGCCGCCGCCCCTCGCGGGGACCTCCTGCCGCGCAGCTTGGAGAGCGTCCTGCGCAGCGGCTCGGCCATGCCTGGGCGCTCAGCGGGCGGCGGCCCCCCGGCACGGCGGGAGCTGCCCCATGGCGGCGTGCCTCCCCGCGCCCGGCTGCCGCCGCGCCGCCGCCGCGCACATACTTGGCATAGCTGCGCGGGGCGAGAGGCCGCCCCGCAGTGCGCATGCCCCCGCCGCCCCATCGCCGCTCCCCGACGGGGGCCGGTGCCGCGCCGCCCCGGGCGCTGGGACCGCCTCGGCAGCAGCTCGAGGAGAGCCCTCGCCGTCGCACCTGGTGCCCGCCGCCATGCCGGCGAAGCGCCGAGCAGTACGGCGTAGCGGGCCGCGGGGAGCGCTGCCCGGGGTCTGGGGAAAACGGCACGTGTTCGCGGATTTTGTCCCTTGCCAAAGTCGGAGGGAAGGGCTGTCCCGAGCAGCCTTGGATGCACCCAGCCCTGGAGTGCTTAAGGGCAGGCTGAGGGGGCCCTAGGCGGCCTCAGCTGGCAGCAGCGTCCCTGCTCTTGCAGGGTTTGGAGTCGGGTGAGTTTTAAGGGCCCTACCAACCCAAGCCATTGTATAGTTTAATTATTAATGACATTTGAAGTCGAATCTTCCTAAAGAAAAAAAGTTGATTCAAATTTCTAGTCATAACCCCCTCGAGGCCCCACAGCAGTGATCCCATCCCATACACATACAGCACAGGAAAGCTCTGAAGGTCCGTCCAACCTCAGTCATGCAGTCGCAGAACCACAGGGGTGTGAAAGCACCTCTGGGCTATGACCCAGTCCTTCCTTGGGCCTGTTCTCCCATGTCTCTTGCCTGGGGAAACAAAAGAAAACTCAGCATCACTGTTCTTTTTCTATGCAGCCTCGCACAGTATTTTCCTCGTGTTCCATATGGTTCCAGATGTTAGTTTAAACACTTCCATGCGTCCTCTCTGCAGTAGGCACACAGGAAATGGCCCAGGGAAAAGCTGCCAACGGTGGGTCTATAAACACAGTTTGATCCATATCTTTAAATTGTTTCCATTCCAAACACTGGTTACAAAGCACTTTTTCTTGTTGGCAGCTAGATTTTATTTTTTTTTAAATCCCTATGCATCCTGTATTTGCCCAACAGAGGTGGCATTGATCTCTCTCTCTCTCTCTCTCTCACACACACACACACACACACACACACACACACACATACACACAAAACCCCCACCAAAAACAAAACAAAAAAACCAACCCCTGCAGATAAAATAACATTAAGGATCTGGCTGGAACTCACTTGATCCAGTGCAGCACGAGTCAAAGCCCAGCTTTTGTTTCCAGCTCAGCCCATTTTGTTCAGGAGCTGCAGAGCACACAGTGCAGAACGTGATTCGCTTCAGCAGGCCCTGTACAGAATGTGAAAGTGACTTCAGTGGGATGGGAACAGAGCTTGCACCAACTTGAAGAGCTCTCACTGGGACACTGACAAACATTCAGGACTGGTTAAATACAGTGTGACTATAAACAAATAGCAGGCTGCATTTTTCTGTACACGAAAAACGTTTTTAAGTTTGTTTGTTTTTTTTCCCCCATCACCAGACTAAGATTTTGTTAATCAATAAAATCTCTGAGCACTCCAGTTACTGACAACATCTGCCTTCCTGATATCCAAATGGACCAAAGCAGCAGTTCCATGGAAACTTATTGGCTCCTGCTGCCACTAATGGCAGCACGCATTATCTCCATCCTGCAGAGCAGCTGATCTTCGCATGCAGACACCACTCCAGCCATCCACATCTTTGTTACCCCCAGAGCTATTCTTGATCAGCCAGATGAGGCACCCCAGTGGCTCCCAGGTTTGGAATACAGCTGTTTATCTTCTTACAAGGACAAACCAGGGCACTAATTCATTTATATTCTAGACCTGAGTAGCCTGCTAGATTAAAGGCCAGACAAAAGCAAAGATGTTTATGACCAAACTGGCTCCACCACTGACTCCCTGGTCTCCAGCCCCATTTGAAGTTGGGGGTGCACTATTTAAAAGCAAATTTTAGACTTCTAGAGCAGCCAAGTGTTTGGCTCAGACCGGTGACTCTCTCCTCAAGCACATCCTTGCCAAAAATCTCCTTAATCCAAAAAATGCATTAAGAGGCAGCGCTGTTGAGATCCCATACCCAGCACAGGTTTTGGCTGGCAGCCACCAACTGCTGGACGCTCCCAGGAACACAAGCTCTGCCAGTCCATCCTGTGATGCTCTTGTACTGCCAGTAGTCTGCTTGTCCTGCTAAGCTAAATTTAAAATTAAACAGGAAAGCAATAAGAAATGATTCAAATAAGCAGTGTGATGAAAATATTTCAGTTCATAGCCGAATTAGGCAGCTGGAACATTAATGGTTCTGCCTTCTGCACTTTATTCAAACAGCAGTGCGTCAGAAACTCAAGCTCTTTTTCGTATCTTGCACCTAGTTTGTTGAGATTATGTTTGTCTTTTTAGGAAACACATGCTAACCTCCCAGTGAGCTTTCCAAAGCATGTCACTGAACTTCAGCACTGTCATTACCACCTCTGCAATCTTACAGCATGAGAGTGCTATTGCAGGATGCCAGTCCCCCTGAAGATATGCTAAAAATACCAAAGTATTTTGGCTAACAGGAAGCCAAGGCATCACCCACACAGTAAAAATAGTAGGTGTAATGACCATCATCACCATAGCCTTCTCCTAACATGGAGACAAAACCGACAGATCAGTGACATTCCACATGGGTTGAAGTGAATGTTAACACTGAAGACGAGAACGTCGTATGGTCAGGCAAAAGATAAACAAATTCAAGTTTATGCTTTAAACATCAGAAGAGCCTCTTCAAAGGAACTTAAAATACTAAATAACCATTCTCTATTTTATACTATATGCTTCTGGCTGGGACCACATTCGTAAGTCACAAGAAAGAATTTTCCTGCTGGTTCTGCCCCAAGAAGAGCAAAATTCTCAGCAGTGTGCTGTCACAAAGTCATTGCCATCATTCAGTTTCTCACAGTATTTGCATACTGGCCCAAACTTAGGAACTCATCTCCTAAGTAGCCATGAGCTGCATCCAAGAGCAGTATCTGTTGACGCTGAGCAGGAGCACAGCACAGGCAGGCAGACCCTCAGCACTGCTGGGTGCATCTACCATAAATGCTGCTGTGTAGAGTGTCCTAAAATTGCTGCACATACAACGCATATTTAATTAAAAATCCTGCAAAACTCAATAAGTAAGGAAAATACCTTGAATGATTTCCAGTTCACACTGGGAGAACACATTTAATGAACACGTTCTGAGGAGAATCCCCTTTCTTGAAGTTCCTTTTTTTCCCACTTCTACCATTAGAAATAGTAATTTTTATTCAATCATCAGCCTCAGAACTCTGAATTCCAACTCTGAGTGAAGTGCAAAGGGTCCAAATGTAGTAAAAAGGAAAGCCAGTATTTAAGAAGAGAGGTGGAAAGTCCTTAAATTGGATCACAGATCCTTTTTAAGAACTTTGTATACTGTGTTGTGCTCAAAAATCTGTAGTTATAATCTCCAGTTTTAAGCAACCTATGCTGTTTCTGTAGGTTTTCACATCTTCAAAATAATTTTATCATTCAGAAAAAACAAACACCTTTGTATGTTTGCGTATGTAATTGTTTCATCATAGCTACTCTGTATGCTGCAAAGCCACAAAATGAGAAAGAAAAAAAGAGCCAGAGAAACCCTGTGGAGTTTTACATACGAACCACTCTGTTCTGTCTCTCCACTGTGTGTGTAGCAAAGGGAGCAGACAGTGCAGCTGGTAGTAAGAGGCAATGACATTGAAGTCTGTGCGTGTGTCAGTGTGCTCATATCCAGCTTGTTTGCAGAACAGAAGCACCACTTCACTAGGGTGACTGAAAACTAGAAAAGTAAATGAAGCCTGGGTTTGTTATTGTTCTTTTTGTTTTTTGGTTTTGTTTTTTTTTTTTCTTGCTTATTTCTTTGCATCTCTTGGAGTGTACCTACCAAGTGGAACAGAGAAAGAGCTGTGGTGCTCAGGAGAAAAAAAGCTTTCCTCCTTAGACCAGCCACAGTGAAGCACATGTTTTGACCTGATGGGCTTTCTTGACTTGTAAAGAGCAATCCAGCAAAGATGAGTACTTCATCCCACTGGCTCAGGCAGGGAAATTCCCTCATTTGCAAACCTGCCAGGGTTGCTGCTTACCATCTGCTGACAGCTCGCTCCCAGCTCTCCTTCAGCACTATGATGACACAAAAGGCAGTCACACAGCAGCTTATGGGGAGGTACTGTGGCCAAGCTTCTTTTAATTCTTTGTGTCCCTTATAATGTTTGTTCTTTGGCTTCACCCTTAGTAGACACAACAGAATCCAAGAAAATTGAGGTGAAAAAATACATTTATAAACTAATCTGTGCTGCCTTAATCACAAATCTTGTCTGCTCACGTTCAGGCCAATCTAGTTTTAAGTGCCTCTTCCTGTTAGAAGATATTTCTAAACACGTAAACCTGGTGTTGGTCAGCTCTTCTGTCAGTCCTGGCTTACAGGAGGTGCCAGTGTAGCATCTTGCCTGTGCTCTGCGCCCCTTCACTGGTCACACTTGCAAGGCCTGAGCCATAACAACAGCTCAGTGTGCCCCTGCTATGGGCCACAAGCTCTTGCCTCCTGGCACTGATGTCATCGGCAGACATGGGCATCACACTTGGCCCAAACTCACCTCAACGTTTGACTTCTTTGGCTTTCCCCATGGCTGCTATCAAAAACGGCTCCCGAGCTGGAAGTGCTGACAGCCACCCTGCCCCTCATCCAAAGCAGCAGGCATCCTATGGCATGAACATAGCTGAAATGCCACCTTATCCTCCTTGAGGTGGAGTGTGCATTACAGCATGACACGTCAACAGGCACCACCAGACTGAGGGGTGGCTGTGAGGAAACACAGAGTTATCCCAAAAGCAGCAACCAGGAGGGGAAGATAAGATGTCAGTGATTGTTCTATGAAAAGCATTTATGGAAAAGGTGGTGTGTAGGAATTATCTAAAAATCACACAGTAACTACATAGTATATTGAATCTGTACTGAATAAGCCTCGTTAAGCATGTGGTTAAGAAGTGGTGGTCTCCATCAGACAGCAGTGCACACGTGCACAGCAGTACAGCTTACATCTGATCGCATGATATTCTTCTAAAATGTGTTGCATAGAAAGGGGCGTATGCAACTTCTGCTTGTGGCTGTGCAGTGCAACCCATGGCACGGCCCTGTGCAGGATCTTTTCCCACCCTGCACTGCTTGTGGCAGTCCTGCAGGAGGAGGTGGCACTGGGCACCGGCACGCTGACTGCCGGTCCGTCCTGCATGGCTCCCTCCCACATTCCAAGAACATTACCAGGACAATAAAATAGATATTTAAATGTAATCTAATCTGTCAGTTTTAAAACAATTTGTTTTGAAATATTTTCTGAGTGGGAGCGGAAAGCCTACGTATCTCAGGTAATTTCAGGTACACAGAAAGGCTTCCGTGCTTCCTGTAGCTGGCCTGCATGGTACCATTTGGAGGAGGTTTGGTATTGAGAAGTGTGAGCTATTGAAAATATTCAAAATATTTACATTCTTTAGTGGATAGAAGCACTACTTTATCCTAATCTCCTCTCTAATTGCTCCCGTCTCCAGCCATGGCACAGCCTCACCTGGTAACCCCTGCAGCTCCACAGCACAGAACAACAGTGCCCATTCTGGCAGTGAATAGTTACTAGATTACATCCATACTGCATATTAGATTATTCCTTATTTAATCTTTCTCCATCCTCTCTTCTTATCACAAAAACCTTGTTGCCTAAATCCCATATTCTTCTGCAGAATAAAGACCTAGCAACACATAAAAGTCCAAGAATATAAAATAAGACTTCCAAGCTTTTTATGTTTATCTGTATGATCTGAAAATGTTTGATCTTGTTTTTTAATCTGTTATTGGGCAAGTTTAACTTTGTCTGTTTCCAAGCACTGGTTTTATGCTCTGAAACATCATGTGCAAGGTCATTTCCAGTGTTCTCCTAGCTTTGCCAAATTCCCCTGTTTATATAGAAAAAAAGCAAAACTAAACAGGATATGTAAGTACAAAAACAGAATTTGCATGGGAGGGACAAGGACAAAGGGAAGTCTGAAACTAAAATTACTCTACCTCGCTTTTTTAAATGATGTCTCCAAGGTGACAGAAAGCCCTTCATTGGGAGGTTTCTCATTTGTCTTGAACAGTTGCCAGGGTTTTGATCTCTTTTTTACTTTTGAAGACCTGAAGTTACCTCCCTTCTCCTCAAAATAAAAACCCGCAACCAAACACAACAAAACAGATTTCAACCACATAGAGGCTTCTATCTTCATGAACAACAAGAAAGAAAGATCAGGTCCCACTGCAAAGCTGCCAGTTTTAGCATCATTCAGAATAGGACTCCACCCAGCACATTCTAACCACGTGTGCTGTCTATCAGGCATCATGGCTACGGTTCCTGCTCAGACCCCACTACATCAGCAGCCCACCTGAGCTGCCGTGCTGCCATATCGGCAGGGCTCTGTCTGGGCAGTGGCTGGCAGGTCAGAACCTGCAGGCCTGGAAAGGGAAAGTCGGCTACACACACAGACACAGGCACACTCTGCCCCCACACCGACAATGCATTTCAGCCACGCTGGAGCACTACAGGCGGCCAACCACAGCTTCAGCACATCAAAACCATTAGCACCATGTGTTTGGATTCAAAGCTCTCTTTGGCATAGTACCTGGTTCTTCTTCAATCACAAAAACGATGAGGTTCAATTTCTTCTGGCTTCCTCCTACCTACATCCTGCTCTCACAGAGAACACTCTAAAACCTGACTTGGAGCCACCTTCCCCCTCTGCTTGTCTTCTGAAACACAGCAAGCGAAGCAGTGCTCTAAACCTGTCCTCTAAACCTCATTTTCCTTTCTGCACAGTAATGAGGGCCCTTAGGTATTCGCCTGCTCTACCCAAACAATCTCAGAGAACTATACTCTCACCTTTCCCTCTTTTCTCTCTCTTTCCTTCCTTATCCTCACTTACTAAGTCACATCTGAGTTGCTGACCACTTTTGGGATAAGTACCAGGACAGAGTTCCACAGAGGACTTACTTGCTCAAAGTAGGGCCATCCCAGCTCCAAACCTCAGGCCCACTATGCGTTTCTTTGGCCCTAGAAGGGCTCAGCCAGGGATGCTGCCCGCGTCCTGGGTTCTGTCACCGGAGAGCAGAATTCTGTCCATCCCGCTGCCAGTTCTAGATGCAAAGTGCAGTGCTGCCTCTGCCCCCAGGACTAGACAGGGTCTTCTGTCCCGTTCATCAGGGCAAGCTGTACTTCTGCTACAGGACACAGCTTCAGTATCGTTATCAGTAGTCATGACAACCAGTTTAAGTGGTTTAAAGACCAGTGTCAGAATGGAGACAGGCTTACAAGAGCTGATTGCTTTGATTCAGTGTGCACAAGCAGATGTGTTGTCATACTGGCTGTCCTGAGAAGTATAACAGCTGGAAGTGAAAGACTGCTTACCAAGAGGCACATCCTTTGCTTCTGATAGACATGATCCCATGGCTTCCACCACTCAGTGGCACAACTGCTTAGAGTGAGACACAGATGTTGCTTCTAGACATCAGGGTCTCTAAAAGAAACGGTTGGTTCTCAGTTTTCACCATTAAGAAGTCATCAAACTGTAGTCATTAGAGACAGGATGTTCCTGCCAGGCAAGGCAGTCAGCACCCAAGTAAGTACTGACTTCTTGTGCACAGGCAGAAGCAGCAGTGACTCCAGTTGCTGCTGTGTGAGTCCTGCTTGTGCTCTGCAAGAGGCTGAAATGGAGTGCACCAAGCACAGGATGCTAATGTACCCTCACTCTCCCCATCTGTCCACTGTCTCAGATAATGTAAAATATATCAGGTCTCTCTGCTTCTGTGATGCAGGGTATTCCCTCAGAAACCTCTTGGCAAATCCATTGTCATTTGCCAAGTCATGCCAGCAAGAAGTATTTAGGAAGCTTACCAGCAAAGGCACACAGCTCATCAAATAAAAGATGAGTGATGGATTTTTACTTGTCTGATTCCACTTTAAAGCAAGGAGTGCTGGGTGATTTGTCTAATGAGGACACTGAGCGTGGCCTCTGTATTTCTGTATGAAAAATACCTCCTTTCTCTGCTTGGAAATAGGAGACACAAAAGGGAAGCTCCAAAGGTCAGCAGGGGTGAGCCTCCTAGTAACCCACAGCCACAACAATGAAAACCTATGTATCTCAGGCACTTGTAGGATGTCTATCATGCTGGCTTGCACTCTCCCTGCCCGATTTGCATACAAAATGGATATTTTGGAAACACACTCACAAACATTACCTGAAATAGTTTTTCTTTGCCTGCCAGCAAAGAGCATCTGGAAACGATCAATCTCTCTCTTCACCTTGCCGAAATGTCCTCAGGGAGAAATTCATCTTTTAAGACAACTGCATGGCAAAGAAAAAGTTTTTGCAAGCTTGCTAGATTCAAATTTGCTACAAGTTTGCCTGAGAAGAAAGCACTGGGAGGGGAAAGGGATCCATTCTTTCAAGGCGTAATAACAACACAAATCACTTTCCTTATTCTACTGTTAGATATGTAACAAGGCCTCAGCCACTATCACAAACCAGGTGCTCAGTGCCATAGTCCTGTCAGTGAGTTCACATATCATTTGCTTCATATACAGCTGGTTTTCCATGGCCTGTAGTGGGATGCACACATAGCTAAGCTTCAAATATAAACTGCTGCAGCAATGAATGGCACGTCTAACAAGAAATGCTACTAGACTGGCTACAATGGATAAGCAAGGATAAGTGCTTAAACTTACTGTAGTTTTCACTCTCCACCAACCCCCATGCTTAACATAAGAACCATTAACATGGAAAAAAACCACACAAAAACAACTCAAGACAAGGAAAAAGCTAAGTTTAGAAGGCAGTGTTGGCACACTACCAAAAGCATAAAGCTTGGACTCAATCTGAATACAGTTGCATTTGCCTCAGCAAAGCTTATTTTGGCCAGTGAGGTGTGTCCTGCAGATGCTGCTGTCCTTGCAGCAGGCCGTGGTAGCAGGAGCTTACTGGCTGGGGTTAGTAGTGCACTTTTGAGGTGACTCTCCCCACTGCCTTGGCAGCATGTGCTTTGGTTTTCAGAGTACATCAGCTGCATTCCTTCTGGATGAAGCCCAAAGCAGAAGATGCACTCCAGGAGTGCCTTCAATGCACTCCAGCTGTGGCAGGTTGGTGGGCAAAGCAGAGTTAGCCTGCGGTGTGCTTTCACATTACAGACATTGTCTTACTGTGCCAAACGACTTACTAATGTAAATGTAGCCACAGATTGAAAAGGATCCGGTAGCATGATATCAGAAATAGAATTAAAGTGATTATACCACATATAGCTTCCCAACAACCCTATAGCATTGACTAGGAGGATTAGGAGGATCTGCTTGTTCTGCAGTAAGAACAGAAGAGCTGCTTATTTAACAAATAAAACTCATATGCAGTGGAAAATCAAGACTTTCTGAAATGAATTAGCAAGTACTAGGAGAGACAGTTTTTCCCTACAGCTTTTATTTCTGGTCCTTAATGCTTGAGTATGATATAAAAAGCACCAATGGAAAATGCTATAGAGTTACTTAGGAATTAGTTCTATCTGTTACTAAATGTGATAGCTTTTCAGGAGGATTTCTGTGAAATCATGCATTATGAAAACGTGTGGGACATTTGTAGAATGGGGGAAAAAAAAACCCAAAAAACCAGAAACCAAGGTCTGCATAACATTCTCTGTGTAAAAATGACTGCTTTGAGTTCCCCCATGTTGCCTGCTGAAGGCTGAATTTCAGAGCACTCAGCGACACACCTGTGTCACATCCAGCAGCAGACCATGTAGGCACGCATGGAGCTATAGGGAGTACATTCAAGTCATGGTGACCTTTGCCTTTAAGCACATCTCATCACATTAGGTGTTTCCACAGCAAACAAAATAATTAACTTCCAGCTTTGTATGGAGCCAAAAATCCTGTGAAAAGTTAAATGAGGTCTTTAATTAAAAACCTAAGCACATGCAGTTTGTCAGTTCTTAGGACCTCCGCTTCTTGTCTTGTATAATGGCAATTTCTCTTCATTCTTTTTGCAGACTTGAGGAAGAAAAAAGGTTGCTTTTAAGGGCTACTCTGTAAGTAAATTGTAGGACCTACCTGCACTCAGTTCTGGCTACTTCTCCAGGTACAGCAGCATTGCAGTCCTCAGCAGAAGCCTGCTCCAAGGGAACATGGATACTATGCATTACTAGGCTGTTTTGACTACAAAAAATGCCCTTGGGAGCTGTATCTTTTGCTAAAGTTCGTCGTTGACCTTAGAATCTTTATTTGACATAGGAATTACATTTTATTTGGCTATGTTACAACTAAAGAACTGAGAAAAACCTGAGATAAATCATGTTTGATAATTCCAAATGTCATCCTCAGCCATTTACACCTGTACTTATATATAGGAGTCCCCACTCTGTAAATAAGTCCATAAACCATAGAGTTACTTCAACGGGTTTTATGCCTCCCAAAATGGAAAAGAAAGGTGTTACCTTTCTTGTTCCTCTGCATGTTTGTGCTGATTCCTACCAAATCATTAATCTACTAACTTGACTGAAAGAGGTGATGGCGTTCACTGCATTGCTGTCTTCCAGGGAAGCACTGTTTTCCAGCACAGACTCCCATGGGAAATGGGGCAGGTGGACTGGGTGACCTACCGGTGCCAGCCTTATTTCTGCAAGTTCTATGAAAGAAGGAAAAAAAAAAAGATGTAAAACTTCTGCTTAAAATTCAAGTTACAAACATGTCTGGTTTTCTTTGAAAAGCAAGAAGCTTATGGCAGTGTGGAAAAATCAGGTGAGAAGAACTTTTCAAAGCCAGTTCTGCCTCACTTTCTTACCTCCGAGTAACAGGCCGTCTTTTTCTGCTTTTCTTCTTTTTCTCTTTTCTTTTTTAATTAAAACATAGAGAAAGAGAACAACAAAACCTGAAACTAGCAGGTTGGTTCTGTGCGGTCTATCAAATAAAGTAGTGCTGCTCCTTAAAGCAGCTACGATGCCAGCAGTTAGCAAAAGCTCCCTCTACTGGGTAGGTACCTACATAGATACTTAGAAAAATATAAGTACATAAGATGCAAGCAGTATTTTATTACTATGTCAGAGATCATGGCAACGTGGCTTATTTAAACTGCCACAGAGATACAGCATATTTACAGGCAGGTGGTGATGCACCAAGGTCCTGTGAGAACACAGCAGTTACAAGTCACTAATAGCAAGCAAACTTCAGAGCTTATACAAAAGTCAGCGTTCCTATCTATTACACAGCATGCCTGCAAACAAGCTTTTGCTATCAGGCACGCTGACGTTATAACTATGTTAAATTACCAGTCTTTGAAACATTTCAGATATATACAAAGCTCTCAGTCACACAAGATGCAATTCTATTGACTCATCAAGGCATGTCAGAAAATTTTCAACAACAGTGCCAGAAAATTTTAACAGTGGCCCACATTCTGCCTCCCAAAAGAAAAGCTCACAGTTGCTTTTGCTTTGAGCCTGCTGCTGGGCGGTGTTGTTTGTTTGGTTTGTTTTGAGGAGAGTATTAACATCCTCTGGTAAGTCCTGTGGTTTCACTTCCTCTCCCCGTTACTATTTCCCAGAATTACTCTGTGTTAATCCATACACAGGGATGAGCGAGGTGGGAGAAGCTAAGCAAAGGGAAGGGAAATCAGTGTTTGCCCCCAAGAACAGCTTGTGCTGTTAGAAGGCAGCAAAGCACAGAACAGTCATGCTGTTGCTCACAGCCACAGCAGAGCAAAGGTGTGATTAATCTTTTGAAAGCTATCAAGATGAAAGCATTCTAAAGATGAAGGGCACTTCATCTTCTAAATGAAGAGCGCTGATAAAGGTATTTGATAAGGACCAAAAATGCTTATCTCCATTCACTGAATTCATTGCATTCTTTTGTCAATCCAGCCCCACAGGTCCCAGCTTCCCTGGAAATTCCAAATTTTTCATAGTGCCCTGAAGAAAATACTTCAAAGGAACCAGCAACAAAAAAACCATTCCAATCTGTGGTGCAACTACCCTTTCCAAGACCAACTGATCTAAGCCCACATCTATTGAGGACACAAATTCAGCAGGCTCCAATGAATACCTGTTGTTTCCTTTGACCGGTGATACCTCAGAGACTTAAAAGAAGAACTAGCTCACTAGAATCCCCATTCCTCTGTTATTCCCACTATTTCTTGGTTTCTCATTATAGGACTTAAGTAGCTTTGACAAAAGAATTCACTGCTACCAAAAGGTTTGAATCAAGAATCATTCACTGAGATTCCCATGTCTCACTGGAAGCTTCCTGAACAACCAAACCATTTGTTTGACATTTCTGTTGGTAGTTTTCTGTATTTTGCCAATCACTTACTGTACAGAAATGCTGCTTTTGTTTCAATCTTCAAGTTCTGACCAACCCACAGAATGCCTAGCTGCTCTATGCCTCTCATTGCATCACGTTTTAAGCCTGACCTTAGCCAGAAAATATTGCTGGCAGGATTGGAGTTATATTCTTACTAAGGTGCCTCCCTTTGCTAAGAGATTTTCTAAACATACCCCATTTGGAGTTTTAAGGAGTCTGTTTATCTGTAACATCAAGCTGCTATATTCTTTCAACACACTGCTCCATTCCCACATTAAACCCACACTCAAACTGTCTGTGTCAGTATTGAACTTATTTATACTGAGTGGCCCAAGCTAAAACAAATGCTCACAGGAGCCTTTTAAGCAAAAGAAAACCCAAGTTGTATCCTGCTGGTGAGTGAAAGCATTACACCTTTTCATCCAAATTCTGCCTCGATTTTGCAAGATGAGCAAACTGGCAAATGAGCTTCCTGTCATCAGAGAAAGAGCAGCCAGCCTCACACAGCTCCCGTTTCCTCTCCTTCACTGATTACAGGATCGAGATAAACGTCTCTGTAGAACACACTGCATTTCACAGGATTCAATTTCACACTGGCAGCCTGAAGCTTATCACAAAGCATTTGTAAATGAATCAGTTCTTCGATAGCGTTGGCATGCATGGAGCTTCCACATAGGAACAAGCAGCCTAGCAGGGTGATGCCTTGCAGCAATCTCTCCATCAGCACTTCTCAGAGGAAGCATTGCCTGCCATGGGGGCCATTATCTGAAACAGCTGTAGTTTTATACTGACTTGAATTTTTTTTCCCCAGATCACCTTGCCTTTCCTGGAAATCTGTATTGTGTAGCTGCTATTATGCCAGCATCTAGAGGCAGCACAATGTGTTCATTGCAAACAAATTGCCTTCCAGCCACCGGTTTTCTACTCTTGACAAATCTTTTTTTTTTTTAGAGAATTCAGATCAAGCTTGTAGGGATTCTTACTGCCTTTTTTTTTTTTTACCCCCATTACACATAATGATCATCATTACATTTGATTCATCATAAAAACAGTGCAAGTGCTGAGTTAGTAACAGGCTGATTTTCAAAGCCAATATTCCACATGTGTAAGCGGAGGTGTATGTTCCCTGTCACTGTTTCCTCTTGAAAGACAATCCAGGACAAACTGTTCTCTAGGCAGACATTTTTGAGCTGAGCTATCAGTTTAAGTTCAGTAAGCACTCGCTCATGCATTTCCCAGATCCCATTGCACAGAGGAGGCAAATTTTCTCTATTAGCAGCCCAAACCTCACTTTGCCCTTCAGCTTCTCATCTTTTCTCTTCAGCTTCTGAAATAAACTAGAAAAGCTTCTTATTGCTCATTTCTTCACACTTACCTCACCTCCTTTTTTTAAGCACTACATCATTACCATTTTCATCCTGCTTTGGGAATCAGCATCACTCCTACTCATCCAAAAAGAGCACTGAGAAGAGCCTCTTTTTCCACTGCACGTGTTGGATGCACTCCTATAATCACAAGGCTGTGACATCCTCCCTGGAATACGGACATCTTCGAGGAACCTGAACAGCAGCTGGTAATTTTGCAGCCTCACAGTTCTTTGTATCATTGATAATTCATTTGTAATTTTGACCTGGAAGTCCAACCCCAGATGAGGATTATAATTTAGTTTACCACCATTTTTCCTTAGAAGCATTGTAGAGTATTGAGTAAAACTTTACTAATCCTCACAAAAATCAGTGAGCTTTCTCTTCTTTTCTTCCTCTCCTGGCTACCAGTGGTGTTCTATCCAGCCCAACCCAGCTGCTCCAACCAGCCTCTTTGTACCAGATACACATGCCGTGCTTTTCTCCCTCCAGAGCTCAGTACTGCTCAGTAACTACCGCACTATCAAAGCTTGCCACTAGAAACAGAGCTCTCAATGGAAGCTTTCTGGGCTGTAGCCCCACAGACTGAACTTCCAAATGCCTCTCATTCTTCTGAATTTCAGAGCCATAATTTGCCTTTAGGTTAGTCATGCCTGGGAGGTCTGCAGTTCCCTTTACAACTCATTGAGGATACAAAATTTCCTTTAGACAATCTCAGTTACTCAGAAAAAACAGACATATTGTTGTCTCTGAGCACAGGAAGGTCAGTCCCCTCTCTGCTCTGGGCTTCTTTGTAGGGTCTGCCTGCTTCATGAGCAGCAATGCTAGAACTTCCCTAGACTCAAGCCACCTCTACCAATAAAACTTATCCAGCAACAGAGTTGGTTCATCTGGGTACCTCCACTTCAGACGGGCTTTCTTGTTTCAGATGTCCTAAGAAGACAGATAGTTGTCTTTGCCATGTATCCTGAATAGGGATGCTGCCATGGTCCCTGTTTACAATGAGGTTTCCCTAAGCGCCTAAATAACACAATTAATCATTCTTCTCTCTGATTAGACATGCTACTTTTCTCCTTGGAAACTGAGTATCTGACAACGTTAGCTTCAAGACAACCGGACACCAAGTATATTGTATTATCTGAAAACAAAAGGAGTGATTAGCATGCTAACTTCCTGAGCTGCCTCGCAGAAAGGCAGGGCACACAATACGAGGACAAAAGCCTTCTTGGCCACGGCTATTGTGGGAATGCAACCTATTTCCAGAGCTAGTGACATTAACCTTCAGCTGTAACATACTTCGAGCAGCACTTCAGCAGCAGAGAGGCTTACTGCTGCGAGTCTTGAATTAGGCAGTCCACTGAATCCCACACCTCATGTCAAATCCCTCAAATTTCAGCCATCTGCTGAATTCTCAGCAATATCAGAGATATCAGAAGATACAGAGAATTGACCAGAGGGAGCATTTTCATTCAGAGACACTGACTTCAACACATCAGCAAAACTATAATTCCTTTCTCTGTAAAAAGAGCTCAAACCATTTGATCTTAAATAGTAGCTCATGACAACTGCAATCTGAAGTAGATGACTGAAGCTGCATATACCCACTAACCACAAATACACTTTTCTATACTGAGGTTAAAAGAATATTTTTAAAAGATCACTTAAAAAATATGAATATTAAATATACATATGGGTATAAAATCTACCAAATTCAAGTTAGCTCAACACAGAAGGAAAATGTAGAACGTTGACATGCACACTGATTGCTTAACCACATAAACCTGTATCAGTAGGCAGATCTCAGTGCAGATTTCTAAGGCAGAGATGCTTCAGCTGACAATAAACCTAGAGCAGCCCTTACCTTCCCCTCAAAGCCCATTGTTACTTTTTCCATTTACAGACCCCAAATTCCAAGCAGCAGTTAGCACAGATGCAGCATGCACTGGCCCAAATACTATGAAAAGCTTAACTAGCATTAGCACTGCAGTAAACATAATTTGACAGTAAAGGCTCTGCCATAGCTTTATCTTAATATTTCTCATGTACATATCTAGTTGCTATTTTCAGCTTTTGGAAGAATACATCAAATGCTTCAATTCCTCTATCAGTTAGCTTCATGTTTTATATGTAGAACATACAATATCACGATTTATCTAATATTAAACTCCACTTTTAGGTCAATATTTCCGTTTGCAGTTGTGTATTTATTACCATCAAAACCCTGAGGATTGTTGAGTCTTCAGAAATACAGCACCAAAATGCATACAGTACAGAATTAATTGCGCCCACTCAACAGGCATGCAGTGCAACATTTATATCACAGGTGTTTCAAAATGTAGTTTTATTCCAGTGACTATCTTTACATAAATTTCAAAACAGCATCATTCAAACAAATCACAGTACAATACTTAAAGAATCTTTAGTATATGCTCCTTTATAAAAGGCTTTGACACAATGGAAAAATCAGTCAAGAAAAGCTCACGCTACCAGGTTTCTTGATAAACAAAATACCAGTGAATCCTGTACCCATGAGCACAAGTCTCCATCACAACGTTTTAAGACACCTCTTTAAATTAACAGGTTTAAATTTTGTTTAGCAGATGAGTTTCTACCACAACACTGTCCGTTAAGTTTTGTGCTTTCCAAAAGGCAAGCATACTGCTGAAATAAAATTCCCTACCCAACAGGAGAGAGAAATTCAGTAAACATGTATTTGTTCCACATTCCAGAGGAATCCAAGTTCATTTAAATTCTCATCACACTAAAACCAAGCGTATTCTGCTTATACCTTCTTCCTCTTTGTCTTCTCCCCGGAGTCTAGTTTCCGTTTCTTAGCATAAGCTGGTTCATCATCTTTTTCATCATCTTTAAACAAAAGACAGAATTACTCAAAGTCAGCAATGCCATATTTTTGTGTTGAACACCATCCTCATCCGTGAACAATTAACTCGGCCACATCTGAGATCCTGGGCTCCATCAGGAGAGGGGTGGTCAGCAGGGACAGGGAGGTGATCGTCCCTCTCTACTCGGCTCTTGTGAGGCCCCATCTGGAGTACTGTGTCCAGGTGTGGAGCCCTCAGTACAAGAAAGACATTGAGATTTTGGAAAGGGTCCAGAGGAGGGCGACTAAGATGATCAGGGGGCTGGAGCACCTCCGCTATGAGGACAGGCTGAGGGAGTCGGGCTTGTTCAGCCTGGAGAAGAGAAGGCTGCGGGGTGACCTCATTGCAGCCTATCAATACCTGAAGGGAACCTACACCCACGAGGGGAGTAAACTCTTCAAAAGGGCTGACAACAGCAGGACTAGGGGAAATGGATCGAAGTTGAAGGAGGGAAGATTTAGGTTGGATGTTAGGGGGAAGTTCTATACAAGGAGAGTGGTTAGGCCCTGGAACGGGCTGCCCAGGGAGGTTGTGGATGCCCCGTCCTTGGATGTGTTTAAGGCCAGGTTGGACGGGGTCCTGGGCAACCTGATCTGAATGTGTATGTTTGGTGGCCCTGCTAGGCAGGGGGGTTGGAACTACATGATCCTTGAGGTCCCTTCCAACCCGGGTGATTCTGTGATTCTGTGAGACGCCTGGAGTAAAGGCACAGGAATACTAACAAACAGCATCCTCATTTTCAGAATGTGGATGATATGTGGTCAGAACAGGAATGTTTTGCTGTTTCAACATAGCTCAACTGAGGAAAGGCTTTGTTATGGTAGACGCTGCATAGTACCTGCCCCAAAAAAGTACTGTTTGAATAGATAAGATAAAAAGCTGGAAAATATGTTTTAGAAGCAGAAAGTAATGTTAAAGTCAACAGGGGAGGAAATTAGGCAAAGTTTATCCTCAGGAAGAGCGCTGATGTATTGGAACAGGCTATCCAGAGAGGTGGTGGAGACACCATCTCTGGAGGTATTTGAAAAACGTGGAGGCGTGGCACGGAGGGACGTGGTTAGTGGGCACGGACCAATGGCTGAACTACAACCATCTATCTCACTGGCCTTTCCACATTCAACGGTTCTGCGACTCCAGTGATAGCCGTATGCCACAGGATACCCTGCAGCTGGGCACCAACCCGGCCGGGAGCCCCAGCGGCAGCATCAGCTCCCCTCGCCTGCCCTACCTGACACCGCGTGCTCCTCCTCCTCCTCCGGCAGGAACCTGGCTCTGCCGGCGGGCCGCGGCGCGTCATCGCCGTTGTCCTCGTAGATGTTGGACCACTTGATGGCCATATCGACGGCGGGGGCCGGCGGAGGCTTCTTCTCGGGCGGGCTGTACACCTCCGGCGGCGGCACGGCGTTCGTCTTCCACGCCTTAAACTCCTTGGGCGGCTGCGGGTGAGAGCAGAGAAGCAGTCAGCCCCACGTGCCGGGCCTCAGAAGCCGGCGGACAACCCGGGGCAGGGCGGGGCGGGGCGGGGCAGCCCCCTCCCCCCGGGCCGTACCTCCTCGGGCGCCCGCAGGACGCGGCTCTCCCAGTCGATCTGCTTGTTGAGCGGGTTGTATAGGAAGGCGGGCGGCTGGGACACCTTTCGGAAGAGCTCGTCCGGCGGCGGCAGCTTCGGCCGGCTTCCCGGGCTGCTCCCCGCCGCTGCGCCGGCTCCTGTCTGCCGCTCCTCGGCCGAGGCTTCGTCGGCCTCCGAGTCGGAGCTGGAGCTGCCGTAGGCCGCGAAGTAGCCCAGCGGATCCTCTCCCTCCGCCGCCATGGCGGGGCTGCGCAATTCGCCGCCCGCACGGAAACCGACCCCGTGCCGAGGGTTCCGCCCGCCGGCCCCGGCCTGCATTGCGGGCGGCAACCGGCGTCCGGGAGAAAGGGAGAGAAATAACTGGCCTTCCTGCATTCGCACTTGAGTAGCGAGCGTTCGACCCGGTAAGTTAGGGCTTTAAAGAAAAAAAAAACAAAAAAAAAAAAAAGAAAGAAAAAGAAAAAAGAAAAAAAGACCACAGATGAAAAGAGAATTAGACGTGAAACTGAGTCAACCTTCGTTTCTCTTTTTCACACCCGTGAGCTTCATTGGAGGGAACAGAGAGAAATGGCATTGCCCTCAGCCTCTGGGCAGGTAAGGCTCCCAGCACCGCTCTGGGGCACCTCCACCCACATCAGCTTGTGGCAGCTGTTGGGCAGCATGCAGGCAATCAGGCCCCGCAGCTGGCATTGGAAAGCAGGAGGAACTCCCAGCACTCTTGCTGCTATTCAGACTCTCAGGTTAGCAGTACCAGCCATGAGCCACACACAGCAGACAAGGTCTCCATTTCACATGTGTGCTCTCTCTCCACGGGGCTCTTCAAGGCAGTCCTACCTTCATACCCTCTTCAAGGCTGTACCAACACAGGTTTCACACTGTCACTCTTTCCACCAGAGACAACTTCTGTAAAAAGAAGAAAAGCCTCTCACACATACAAAACCAAAGCCACCCATCCAGGTACTGGCACGAGCTACTCCTAGAGTCTCTTAGAGCCTACACATTTTAATAAAGGCAAACAGGAAAACAAGCAAATATACAAAAGAATTTATTCAAGAGTCATGCTAAAAATATTTCATTTTTCTTAAAAATGCCCATTATAAACATTAATAAGATAATACATTCATTTAAAGTCTCAGGTTAAGAAGCTCCATTGCAGGAGCGCTCCCCACACGGGCAGGCCTGCTGCTCACTGTGCAGCGTGGCAGGCAGCTCACACTGCGTGTTCTGACATACAACCGCAAGACAGTTTCCACAGTGACCTAAAACCCTTTTTCAGTTAAGGCCAAGCTTGCTCTCTCCCCATGTACAAGAACCCAAGAAGGGACCCAAGTCTAGACTTCCAAGGAAGTGAAAACAAGGAGGAAAAAAAAAAAAAAAAGTTTGAGAACACACATGCAACTCTTCAAGTCGTATACAGCAACCAAAGAGATCTAGACACAGACTTCTATGCATCCTGAGTATGGGCAACTGCAGTACAAGTTAAGGGAAGAAAGACCTGCACTTATCCTCTATTTCATGTTAGAGAGCAAGATTTTACTTAAATTTAGATCCCAGAGTGCCATCTGTACTGATGAGTTTCACTTAGAATCATTTTCACCATCTTGAAGGTCTTCGGACATTTACAAGACCAGGCTTTTTTATAAATACACAAGCAGAAGCTCACATTATAAGCAAATGTAAGCTATTCACGTACTGAATATGGACGACAATTGAACACTGCAGGTCATTTTCACCTACTCCTGAAACCAGAGCAAACATGAAATGAAAGTGTAGAGACTATGCAGAGGTCCTGCAGAAGGCCTGTCTGCGCAAAAGGAAAACACAACTCAGGGTTATTACCTGGCTTTCGTCTTGAATGGAATTACACAGCTGTATGAAAACAAAAAGAATTCAAAGCAAGAAATACAAAACTTGTCTTTCGATATACTGAAAGCATCATTTTGAAGAGCAGCATTACAGAATGCTGCAAGAGTGCATTTCCAAGAAAAAGATTGTCTAGTCATTTTCAAGTGGTTAAGGCAGAGTATAAGAGGAATATTGCATTATATTGTGTTCAGAAACACGAGAACCTTCCCATGATCAAATAGTTTAAATGCCTTCAATTCTAAACAACTGTAAACGTGTCTGTGTTGAAGAGCAGGTATCTGAAGTACAACACTTCCAAGAATCTTTCAGTTAAGGGCACTTCCTTGCCACGAGACTCCTCTGCTCACCCACCAGGACAAAACACACAAGCCTTAGTCCTTAACAGCATTATACAAAACATTTTCTGACAGCCCTCACGAGTTTTAAAAAAACCTTTCCTTTCTAAAAATTAATGAGAATTTGTATTTAAAGTGCATTTCAAATCATGATTTTCTAAGTTATATTACAATAATAACATGCTAGGGCTTGTGAATATGTACTTGCTGGCTCAAAATCACTTTGATATTGAGTGCCTTTCAGTTTACTGGTCGGACAAAGAAAGTCCAGAAAATTAAGAGCCTTCTTGTGAATAAGCATAGCTACAGATTTAGTAAGGCTTCTTTTTTTTCCCCCCCAAATGAAAATATTTTTTTGCAAATTATACTCATATATGGAGGACACATTAATTTAGTGCATGAATTTAAGCTTTTCTGCATGTGAGCTTAAGCTTTTAGTCTAGGACATTGTTTTTCAATACTCAGTGCTTTTCTTAATCACTGCTGCTTTTTCACTCACCACAAAACATTAAAAAAAAAAAATGACATTTGTTGTTACTATTCTGTAACTGCAGCTTAAGTACCTGCAACTAAACATGGTATCTTAAATATATTGGTTTAAAAACAAAGCAAACAAACCAAAAAAAGCAGAACAACGAAGAAACAACTTCTGCTGGTATGGTACCATAATTAAAAAACAAAAAACCAAACTCCTTAAGAAAAACAAAAGCAGCTAGAGACACCCGATTACAAAAAAAAAAAAGACTTTAAAAACATCAAGTAGCATTGATTGTTCTCTCTGATTACCCAAATTAACGGTTTGAAAACATTTTTTGCCCTTAAAAGACTGAAACTCAGTTTCAGTAGCATTTGGATGAACAGACAAATGTCATTAAGTTCACTGTGGATGAAGAGAACGTGACCTTAAAGGCAAAAAGCAATTGTCACTGGAACTAGTAGATGGTTCTTGCTGTTCTGACTGGAGCTCTGGAGGGAGAGGGGGTGCACCAGGGTCTCCAGGGCCTGGAAGAGTGGCTGAAAAAATTGCACTCTCAGCATTCCCCATCTCTGCAACAGGTAGATTCATTGAATGAAGAGAGACAGCAGACATAAATGCAGCAGTGCTATAATCTTCTTCTGGATTATGCATATGAGTAGATTCTTTGTCTTTTGTTTTATCAAAAAAATTGGATTCATCAGAATATGATCTAGAAAGATTATTTGTTCCTCCATACAGTGAGGTCAGACATGTGCTGCAACTTAGACCTGAAACAAAGAGCAGAGAATAAAATCAACATCAGGATACATCCTTTAACTGTGCTCTGAGTTTAAACCAGTAGTGGTAAAGCTGTCATTAAGGATCAGCTGTGTCCACTTTTAACAGACTGTCTTCATCTTACCTGTGACATTCCAGTACTAACACCAAATTAGAAAACACAAGCAGATCATCTAGTCAACCACGTGAAAAAGTTTTCTCTGTATCAGCTACTGGTTGATAATGGTGCACTGTAATTGAAGCTTCCCTCTAGGAAGTCACTTCAGCCCTCTGAGCTATCTTTGGATAGAATATTCTCACTATAATCTTCAAACTAACTTTTAAAAAGCTCAGCTGCATGGTTCTACTTCAAAATAGACTGCATTTGACAGCTGCTATACTTGAAGCCAAACAGAAATTCAACTCTTTCATCTCTGGAGTTAAAAATATACTTTCTTCCTTCTTATTTATTTATGGGTGTGGAAGAGGAAGTAAGGGTTTTGGTTTAGATACTCTATACTTTCTTTTTCTGCCTTCAAATATGAGTACATATAGCTACTTAAGTTTTCTATGTCAACAAAACTTCCGACTGCATGAAGAAAGAGATTAACAGTCTAATTTTAAGTTCTGACATTGAAGGCAAGAATAAGAATTCCCCCTCATGCTGTGTTTGCGGGCTTATCTTCTGCTGAGATGCAAAGTTTAACAAAACCAAAGCATCCTGCCACTGCAGCAAATAGCTTCAACAGCAATGCAAGATGGAAGATAATCACCTATTCTGAGTTCTGAATTAGAAGCTCACAGAAAGTAGAACTGAAGCATGAAACAAACTTATTCATTAGAACAACACACAGCACAGCTGTTTTCTCTGATCTGTTGTTTATTACATGTTCAGAAAATAAAGAAGTAAAACTAGCAATATATGCCCAGGATTTTAAATGGAAAACTATGAAATTTTCAAACTATGCTGTCCCAAAAACTAGAGGAAGCAAAAAAAAAAAAAAAAAAAAAAAAAATCTGTAAGGAACACACAGCTGTAGGACTTTTGTTTCACAGCTCCTCAAAATAAAACTTCTGTCTTACAGTACATTATTATAAACTTCTCACCTTTGAGAGCTTCAAGTTTTTCATTTTTGACTTTCAACACTATGTCAGTTATCTTCTGTAACAGAAAGTTTTGTGTTCTTTCCCGCCTGATGGATTCAACCAAAGCATCCAGTCCCTTTGGGTTTTCTGCCAAGTAGTCCAATAACTTCCCAGTTTTTTTCCTACTAGAAGATCGCGAAGAGATCTCCTCTGTGTCCTCTCTAGTGAGTATTTTCTTTGAACGCAGGTAATCAAAGTGTCTCTCAGCTATAATTTTGTCACACAAGTAAGGACGCATCCTTTCTAAAGCCTGAAAAACAGAACAAACATTAGTCAATCTTTCAGTCTTCCCATTTATTTAGAAGCTACACTGAAAAATCTTTATGACTTACAGGTTAATAAAATAGTTTAAAGATGCCACTACGTTATGAGCATATCATATGCAGAGAATTTTCTCCTTGCATCTATTTAAAAGGGAATTTTTTTTTTTTTTCCAAAATTTTCTAAAGGAAAATTCATCATTTTCCTGAGTGATCTAAGAATTTTTAATGCATACTAGCCAGTGGAGGCAAACACTGAAAATATTTCATTAAGTCTGTGTTTATCACATTTCAGAACTGTCTTTAAATAAAATGAAAAAAAATTAAACCAATAAAACACAAATAGCAGCCACTCATTTTGTCTACATTGTCACATCTCTACACCATTTGTATGCAGGA